TCAATTTGAAAGGAGACAATTGTTCTTCGTGGCACTTTGTTGGTTATAGACTCATCTCTAAGCGTTTACCACGTATTGATGATTTATTTATTTCTAATCTATTTCTAGCTATGTAGTTGCAAATAATTTGAATTTTATAAAATTAGGGTAGATGTAGAATAGATGGAAGACGTGATGATATATTAAACGAATCTTGGGATCTTGGAATTATTTGGCACAAATTACAATGCTAAAAAATGAAGTCTGATAAACGTAGATTGATTGAAAAAAAATTGCAAAAACGAAATGAAACGTAAAGTATTATGTAGAGATAAAAGAAAAAAATTTGAGGAAACATAAAACATTCCTTTCTGCTTTCTGTGAGAATATGTTAGAAAATTTCTCAATTCCAACGCCCAGTTACCATCAAATATTATTATATAGATTATCGTTTAGAAAAACCCCTCGGTCGCTGAGAATTTCATACCGAAACCCCGTAATTCAAAATACGACTAATTAATCTTTCATCTGATTTCCGTTTCTGCTTCCCTGCGCAAACTTCTCACACAATTTATTACAATCTTCTTACAAACTTCTCACACAATTTATTACAATCTCTCGCAAACTAATCACCAATAGTGAAAGAGTAAAGGAGACAAATATTTTTACGAGTGAAAAGATTCGCGTGATTGAAAATCTTTTTTAAGAGTAACAAGATTCACGTAATCGAGGATTGAAGTTTCAACGCTTCTGCAAACGCAAACGCAAAGAGGAAGTGCAAACTGTAAAGAAGAACATAGGAAATAAACATTTCCTCAGGTAGAAAGTAAACGTAAAAATTGCACGAGAGTACGCTGAACCGTTCCACGTCCGTGAAATTCAAAAAAATTTTTAGTTGTATCGAGTGAAGGTTCGAGGGTCGAGCGTACGAGCTGTTCAGTCTGTTGCCTCCCTGTCGAAGCAGCCGCTTCGAAAGCGTACAAAGGACGAGCATACCGGAAACAGCTATAGTGTCGTGCCATCCGCGCTACAGCCTCGGCATCGAAGCGACCGACAGAGTGGGGCCTGATGTTCGAACAGGCCCACATGTGCTCCGGCACAGCTGTCCCTTCGTGTACACTCGCATTCAACGTTCTCCTTGCCGCAAGAGACTAGATTCTTGGTCCTTTCCTTCTCTCGCTTTCTTCCTCTCCCTCCCACCCATTTCTTTTTAAATTTACGTAAAGGAAATACGTGGTACGAAGATACTAATTGTGGACAATTCATGCACCTTGATTATGCAATTAATATATTGTAAATACCCTTTTATAGTTGTAAATTTGAACTCACTCTGTATGCGAGTGATATAAGAGACATTTAAATATTGAAATCATAAGTACAAATATCTTGCGAAGTCTATTTCTGTGACGACAATGATGGAAAAAAAGGTGTATAAGATTTCAGTTATCGCGTTATATATAAATTTTCTATAGTTAATAAGCAGATTCTAGCCTCCAAGCCTCAGCAATAAATTAAACTTGAACTGTCTTTCCTAAATTTCTAACAACGAAATAATTCCTTTTAAATACTAGAGAATTGATTAGATATTTCTCAACACCTCTCAACTTCATATAAACACTTCATCCCATATATTTTATGTAAGAAGTGATTAACGTATAAATAAAAGATAAATCATGTTAGAAAGGTCAGACGGTAGATTAAAATACACGTCGTTGAATTCTGTATCTCTTACACTTCCTGTTATCATGCTCTTAATAATAAACGTGTCTTCATCAACTATTCGCTTTATCGATTTCTCCATTTAAAAGATCATAATATAGATTCCACACGAACGAATCCTTTTTACAATTTTAATTCTATCCAATTAGACGCTCGATATTTTTGCTTAGACGCAAGAAAGTTCAACATCATATCCCTGAAAGCAGGTTTATTGTTCGCAACTAATTAAGCGACTATCAGAAATCTACGAATAAAAAGCGAATTTCTTGCCTCTGCCTCATGCAATGCAAAAGTAATTGTAGCAGTTACTTTTAGCTACCTAAGCGATCTGATAAGGCTAGAATCTTAATACATACGTGCGCTTAGTACGTACAGAGTGATTAAAAAAAAAAAAAGAATGTGGTCTAAGATTCTCGAGGTAGAACATTCATAGAAGATATATGATACGTAAACTGTGAATCTTTATATGTATAATTTCATAGTTTTATGAACACAATTAAACAAACGGATCCTAAAGTAGACATTTCTACCATAACAAGTTTACTTTACTTATTTCTGTATGTTACGTGCATTTTCTGGATTCTTGCATTTTCATATTTTCCACTTATGAAAATGGCACAGATGCCCGCACCAATTTTCACAGCTCATTACATCAACTACATTTTATCAAACGTATAGTTTTAATAAAACTATAATTTTTGCAATGAAATAAACATTAAATATTCTCAGCCACTCAAAAACAAAAAACTATTTTAAGAAAGAAATTCCTTTCACAATTATCAATCTCCTTTTACAATTAGTGTCCTCTTTCGCAAATTAATTACTCACAACGTCGTACATAGAAAACAAAGAAGCACATCTTAGGTCAAAAATATCGACGTTCAACAATTTTTGTCTCCCTCCTGCAAAAACTAAAGGCCTTCAAAGGCTTCCAGTTTCCTTTCTTCTTTATCGTCTTGTATACTTAAACGAGTGTCCTTGATGAAAATTCAGAAAAAGAAAGGGGGAGAAAGAAAGAAAAAAAAAAAAAAAAGAAACGCGACGATTCGCGGCGTGTCTAGCTCGGTCTAGAGATCAAGGCAAAGTGAAAGAGACAACTTGTACATCGGCGAACTCGTATGTGGAGCACATAACCGAACGGTGGACGAATAAAAAGAACTGTGGCGAAAAAGGAACTGTGTATGTATTAAACTCCGGCGAGTTTCCATGTGTCGGGACATTCGCGGCTAAAAGACATTCTCGTCACTTTCTTCCCTATCGCATATACTTTCTCCCCGCAGAATTCAACTCGAGTGCATTCCACCTTGCCGGCTCGTTCGCGCTTATATACCCGGGGCTGGTGATTGTTGCTCTTGAGAATAGTTTCGCGATCGTCAACGTGCTTAGATCAACGCCGCTGTATAGAGCGTTCGCCTCGCAACGAATAACGAGGCCACGGTAAAAAGCACAAAACCGAAACGGGATCAGTGGAACGCACAGTGGCGGAATAAGTTTCGCGAAAAGTTTATGCCCGAAGGTTTTAGACTCGAAACTTTAAGGAAACAATCGATCAACCTGACGTAAGGAAACGATCGAGGAAACGATCGAGAAGGAATTCGCAGCGAGGCTATATAACGTATTTTTTACGACCTCAACGAGATCGTAAGGTATCGAACGTCGACGTTCAATCATCGCCTATTTTTATATTATTCCCGCCGATTAGATACCGGTTTATTGTCGGCAATCGATGAATATTGCACCGGTGTGTGTCGCAATCGCGAGCAAAATTGATAAGGACAAGAATGGAAATTTTATTGACGAAAAATAAAAGGCGAGAGAGTGTTGAAGAGACAGGCGAGAATCTTCCATTTCGTAATCAAAATCGGAAATGAGATCCTAGAAACGTTTCGAAAGTGTTTCCTTTATTTTTATATATATTCCGAGATTATCAAGGTGGCGATGATTCGTGAAAATAAGGTTATTAGATTCAGGACATGGGAAACGGAATATAGAAGACCGGTGGAACCTATATCGGAGAGACATAATTAGCGTGTCAGTGGCGAACGTGGCGAACGTGGCGAACGTGATGTGTATCACGCAGCATCTCGCACTATTTTCGTATTCTCATCCGCGTCCGAGCCCAAGTGCCTTACGACGGTCCTCTTTGGGGAACTTTCCGCGTTCACCGAATCGCGGTCGGTAAACAGTTCCCTTCACGGATGCATATGCGCATACTATGAGCCCAATTCCACCAGAAACGATTGGTTCCCTCTTCGACATCCTGACGTATCGCCGATATTGCAGCTACCTTCTATTCCCGGCTTTTCTCGCGATCCCACGATTTTGTTTGCAAGTATAGATGCTCCCTGTGCGAGCGAGACAGAGAGAACGCAAACGAACTTATACGAGGTTCGATTCGTCTCTTTCCCTCTTTCTCATTCCCGTGCTAACGCTCCCTCTATATATGTATGTCGATCCAGCTCTCTCGTTACACCGCGTTTCCCTCATCAACATCCTTCTATTTTCATCGTTGTTTTATTTCTCTTTACGCTTTATCATATCTACCATGTTTGCAGCGGTAATAGAGTTTTACTTGTACGTGCAATCGGAATGTATTAATGTAGGCAACACGCGTCCAATTCGTCGTCGTTGTTCGACCGTACGCGTGACGCTCTTCAATTCTTAACAATTTCAAGGATACGCGAGACGCAACGACAACGAGAGAGTCTTTGCAATTTTGAACATTCTCTTAAAAAATTACGTGAAAACCAAATAATTAATAATCGAAGAGGCAGGTTTCAATGCGCGAAAATAGCAAGGCTGAATTAGAGTACGCTACTGGGAGCGACCGCTAGACGCTTCGAACCGTTTGAAAATTTAATACGCGAACTGCAATTATATTTAGCGTCAGCTTGAATCGATTTCTAACAGAACTACGGAAAATTCGTGGCATGTCTCTGGGACTGGTAGGACTGTCCTGTTATAGTTGTCCACAGGGAATGAACAATTCTCTTATTTCGAATAATTTTCTCAAATGCTCATGCCTGTATCGCGTAATAAAAGAAGAATTGCATTCAACCCCCAATGCGTTGGAGCGAAATTTCGTATCTCTTCCGCCATGTTTGTCATAACCTAACTCGTATATTATACACTAAGATCTTAACGCGGAGGGAATCTATACGCAAGACCAATTTACAAGCACGTTCTCACGAGAAGCCCGACGATTACGTAGAAACGTTACGGGAGAGAAATTATGTTGAAATTATAGAGGCGTGAAAAAGATATACGGTACAAATATAAAAGAAAATGTTGCTTAATCGAACCGTGAGCAGCGCCGAAATTTCGTCGTAGGCGTTCCGGAGCCCGGTATGTTCGTTGTTACAAAACGCCGGCCTTCGGCCGCTCCCACCAAGTCAGACTCGAGTCCAGAGTTCTCTCCTTCTGCGCCTCGGTTTCGTCATCGATGCAGGCAACGAGCTCCCGGGGCTCGTTCTCGCACGAAATTCTAAACACCGTCACGATATAACAAAACCACTGTCTACGAGGACATCTTCGCGGAATACTACCTCTCGAGTCTCTGCTTTATCGGCCGCTGATATATCATGCCGCTGTACTCAGGCACTTAAGCCGCGTTTCCCAACGGCATTACTTCCAAATACTAAAAATAGCACAAATATAACCTTTCGTCGAAAATTTCGATGGTATCTTAGTAGGATACTCGCTCGAGTTACCTTAACCGTTGTATATCAAAGCAAGAAATAGTGGAAGACATAACAGATTGCTGAACTCGTATTAGCATTTCAAATATTTCAAATTACGTACACGTGCCTTGTTACGACGGATACTCATGAATGTCGTGGAAAAAAACGACTTTCGATATTCATATACTGCATATTCATTTCGTCGTGAACTTTCGAGCCGGCGAGTGAATTTTCATTTCAAACGAATCATCATCAACGCCGCGTTAATCGATTTGTAATTCGAATTGATTTCGAAGGCAGCTCGATACCCGGCTGTTTTCGGCACGTGTGTTCCACGAAAGTGGACTCGGTTGGCAAACATGTCGCCATCAGCGGTGTCCCCGGCGTCGCGCCATCGTGACACCGTGGGCAAACGACGCCTGGTCCGGTGTATTCATACAGAATCGAGTTACAAAACCGAGTTGTAAAAGGTCTACATTGACGTTGTCTTATATCACGTAGCCGACGCAGAACGTAGCGCGCCAGTACCATCAGCAGCAACAGCGCTGCTACCCGCTGCTGAGTCACTGCTGCGTTGCCGATACACACATCCAACGCTATTGCTGGGATAGCATGGTCGTCGTGTAGCGTTGCCACGTCTCTCGCGCTTTCCCTCCCTTCGCACCACGCCCCTACGCCCGACACGATAGGCGTCTATCCCCACTGCCGCCAGCCCGAATGAGAAAGAGGAAAACAGGAATAAAACAAAGACGGAAGAGGGACTATGACGATGCAACTACCGTGGGAGAAGGAGAAGGGCAGCGAGTCGAGTGGCAAGAGGAAAGAGATGGAAACAGACGGGGAGGAAATGCAGGAGGGGAGGGGAGGGGAGAGGAGAAGAGAGGAGAGGAGAGGCGAGGATGGAAGGAGACCGTCGCACCGCGCGTTCAAATTTCATTGCGTCAAGCTCACGGTACTCTCGCGTCTGCTTAGCGCGGAATTCAGAGAAAACGTCGGTAATGGAGTTTCGTGAGATAAACGGCAGCAGCGACGCCAGCGCGGCACCACGGCGTTGGCCCTGGTACCGGATAGGGTTACCAACGGGGCGACCAAAACATTTTCCAACAATGAAAATGCACCCTTTAATTCGACGCTACTCCAAAACTTCAAACGTACATATAACGCGGAGGGCTTTATATAGGGGCCTGTTTGCAACGTTACACAACTCGACGTTAGAGACGAATTTCGCCGAAGAGCAAGCGATTCGTTCGCTTTTATTTTCTCTTTCCGAGTTAAACGTCGTTGCGGCGGGTCAACAATTCTCCAAAGGCGCGAAAACAATCCATCCATCAGGGTTGTTTACGGCAGCGTGTTCGGTCTCCTTTCGGTGGAGGTTTGGCTGGCAAAAGCGACTAGCAGACTCCGAGCACGAGACCGCTTTGCGCTCTGATTGCTAACCCCGCGGTTCTTAAATCACCCGGTGATCCCGATTTAAGCTCCCGACCGCCTGAATTATTTTTCGCATTCAAGGGAGGAACCAAGAGCTCGCTGCGTGTATGTCACCTGTGCGATGTGCGTGTACTATCACGGCTCGTATAAAACACCGCTAAATGTGGCTTTTTCTCTTCTGCCGATTTAAATCGTAATTTTAAATGTTAATTTTAAATGTTTATGTAACACTTCTCCAGTACGTGTTCGCGAGCACATTTAATGTAGAAATCTAATCGATCTGTCGGTTAACTAAGCATTAGTAATGCATAGAGCTTGGTAAACCATGAGAATGTCAGTAGTTTGTTCGCTACACGTTCCATTCTCTTAAATTCTTCGCGATTAGGTTTATATCAACTGTACAAATTTCTGGAAACGAAGTACGCAAAGTATGTTAATTCTTTTTTATTTTCGGATTCTCTCAGGGTAAGGGATCGTACACATACAAGATTAGATTACTACTAAACTTTGTATCGATTAAATATTTTATTATAACCTATTTCATATTTTTATACATAATAGGCTATGAATGTTTACGCATTTCTATACTTTTATGTACACAACTGCTAAAATTGGGATTTAACTAAAAATTTGTATTATCCGCTAAATGTTGTAAAAAGATATTCCACTTTTGATATTTGATATATTCTTAATTATTACGTCTATCCTGTCCGTTTCTGCAGAAATATCCTAGTAACAAAAAGTCTTAACAGATTTTCCACCGTGTACATAATACTCTTTCTTTATCTGCATTAATCAGACACATTGACAAAATTTCATCGGAAAGTCTGGATCACCTCACGTTAAGAGAAAAAGATCAATATCAGTTCAACTCTCAAACAATTCGAAAATAGAGATCGCGTGTCCTGCCACTCGTCAATAAAATATCGCGGGGCAAGGATGCAGGAATAATAACATCGGCGATATTCGCGATATTTCTCCGAATTAAAAGAGAGAATGCCAGGCGATTTTCCGGGGGAACGGTCCATCGGAGAACGGTTGCACGGCCAGGAACGCGGATGGAAAAGAGGAAACTGACGTGGAAATAAAAAGGACGAGAGACGAAAAGGGGGAGGAGAGGGGGCGAGGGAAAAGCAAGGACGGCGCGACAGCGGCGGGAGAAGGATGGAAAATACGTGAGAGAGTTGTGAAACGGGAACGCCGTGCGCATCGCAATGCAAATGCAACTGACCCGATAAAGCTGCATTGGGTCATAGAAAGGGAAAATACAACCTACAAACGTGGGGCTCCCGCCAAAATACGATTTTTATAGCCTCTCGGGCGCCACGCTCTTCTCCCCTGCTGTCTCTCGCAGCGACTCGTTTCGCTACTCGAACGCTACCCTTCTCGGCATATACCCTTGCACACCTCCCCGCATTTATGTTCGCCATCTACGTTCATCTTCGTTCCTCCCTTTCGACTTCCTTCGTCTTGACACTCTTTGAACGACGAGAATGGAAACTCGAATCTTTGAAGATCTCGATCTTTCTCTCTCTCTCTCTCTCTCTCTCTCTCTCTCTCTCTCTCTCTCTCTCTCTCTCGGGGGTTGAATCAGCATCGACGCGCGGCGNAAACTCGAATCTTTGAAGATCTCGCTCTTTCTCTCTCTCTCTCTCTCTCTCTCTCTCTCTCTCTCTCTCTCTCTCTCTCTCTCCACTTTTATTCTATTTCCGTTAGATATTTCTATGAATAGTAGAACTTCTAAATTAACCCCCTAATTAGAGAACACATTTCCTCGCATATCTCCGCGTATATGTCCGACACTTGACACTTTTCGAATAAGAATGGAAACTTGAATCGTCAAAGGTCTCGAGCTCTCTTTCCCTGTCTATTTTAATCCCATGAACGGTACCATTATACCGGTAACATTGAGTAAAATTCAGTTTGAAATGAATAAAACGAGAAATTCATTTAGATTCATATAGAATTGTTTTGATGTCTCTTGCTCTTCGTTCTATCCTTATTGATCCTCTTGTATGTATAATACTATTGCACGCACAGTAGAATCGAGGCAGTTTAGATTTATTTAAATTCACAGCGTAATTCGAACGAGTAATCTTCGATTTTGATTAAAATTTATTTAAAATTTCTCCCGCGATTAATAAAAGAGACTCGATTAGACTCAGTTGAATTTGATTAGATTCGTTTAAATTCATCGCGTCGTGGATGCTTCTAGAATGGAAGTTCGAATTCTCTTCATCTCTCTTGACCTTACTCTTCTTAATAGGTACCAGATCATACCAGAGCAGAATTTAGACTCGAATTAATAAAAAAAGATGGATTTAGAATCGTTTAGACTCATCGCGTTAAACGACTCGCCGAACAGATTTTCCTACGTTCTGCGCTTTAGCCGGTTTGCTAATTGCATTGTTCTTCAGCCGCGAGAAAAGCACTCCGGACGTGTCACACCTGCCTTTGATGTTGCCCAAGAATTCTTAAATGTTCGTGGAAAAGCTCACTGTTGCACATTTCCTTTTTTCCCTGCTTAAATTCTAAGACTTTGCCCAAGCAAGATTGTTATTTCAAGAGCACGCGGCGTTTAACGTCGTTTACCTTCTCACTAGGAATTTTCTGTTTATCTATACGATTACTTCCAACTTTTAATATACGTACACCTCTGCTAAAAAGCCTTAAAAACGAATACTATGTTCGCTTCAAAACTGATAAATAATACTTTGCATAACGAAAACTTTAATCTTTAATTTTATTATCTACGATAAATAGTGAATATTAGTTGCTAATTAACTTTCATAAACCATCGTGTATTTTCATAGTTTTATATATTGTTAGGAAATTCATTACATCTTTTATCGTATCATACTGGAAAATAAAGATACAGCTCAATTAATTACGAAACTAAAAGAACGAGACCTTTGAAAAACAGAAATACGTATGTGATTAAATTCATATTCTTGGCTCATAACATCATAATTCTCAAATATTAACAAAAAAAATCATCTATTCCCGTGAGAATTCTGCTGGTTAAATAAGTAAAATATTGTCAAGATACATTTTCATAAACTTGTAAAAGTTATACCTAACGTTATTTTAACATTTAAATTTCACCTGCTGCGAGCGTTGAATCACGAACGCGTAAATAGGTACATATAAAATATACACACGATCCAACGTTCCGATAAACGTTAATAATCTCGAATTCTCGCTCATATTGAAAATGTTCATCGTAATCTTTCGTCGATAAAACAACGATAAAATACAAACAAAAAAAAAAGAAAGAAAAAAAAGAAGAGAGAAAAAGAAAAATACGCGATGAAATAAAAGAAAATGAGAAACGTTATTTCGACGTGAGAGCCGAATTAATAAACAACGGGAGAAGTTCAATTTCACGGAAAACCAAACGTTTCATTATGGTGAAATTTTGAATGGCACAAAGTCAAAACAGGTAATGGCGGTAACATACCACGGTTCCACGGCGGCAAGTGGGGCATAATAAATTTAGGTATCGATCGAGCGGGAAGAGCGCGCGATCTCTCGACCGGCGCACACCGACGCCAGAATATTGTTCCACGTGAAAATAACAAGACCGCGTTTTCAAATTATGGACAATCTCGCGGAATTCACTTTTATGAGTTAGACGTGATCAATAGTTGTTGCGCCGGGTCCGCTGTGTGCGCGAATCCGACGACGAAACGTTACGGCTGATTGTATCTATATTTAACCCCTTCTACATAAACCTAATTAAATTCGAAACAAACTTTGCCTTAGACTACCGATATTAGTTTCTAGTGTATTTTAATTAAATGCATTCCGCCAGTAAAACAGCCGACAAAAATTCGAGGAAACAGTGAAAAATGTATTTCTCCTTGCTCGAAGAAGTATCATCGTCAGTTATGGCGTTTCTTTGATTTCTGGTACTTTTCACTGTTAGAAACAGACAGCGTGATTATTTGTAAAACAGCTTTGTTATATTAATTTTACTGTGCAAATAGAAGATTGATGTTTAGCTTTCGAGAAACTTCTTTTATCAGAAAAAGATGGCGGAAGTATGCAAGTAAATTTTGTGATAAATTTAAAAACAGTGTTCGTAACAAATGATGTGATTATTTTGTACTTCTTTAATTCCGTTGTAAAATCTCAGGATTTACAATTATATTTATTTCAAAATTGGGGAACTTTGTGCAACAGAGAATCTCTAAAATGTTAACTATATTAAAAATTGCGCTATAAAATGCACGTGCAATTGAAGAATTTTATTATCTACGATACGATTATGTACGATTATGTACAAATAATAAAAAGCATATTAAGTCTTTTGAGTATATACGTATACTGAAATAACAGTATGGAAAGCAGAGTCTGTCTGATCAATAAGGAAATAACTACTATTCTTGGAAACAGACTTAAATTCTTGTCAACCCTGACAAATATTCTCAACCTAGACACTCGATTCGACTGTAAATTGGTAAACAAGCGGAAAACGCGTGAATTCTCGATTTTTGCGCAGCTTTGGATCGACGAGAAGGGAAAATCTAAATTAGTGAAATCCCACGTTTGCACCGAAATCAGTGTATGAACACGTGGTTCACTCAGCCGAGGTGGAAAGTGCTTACGGGCGAGAGTGTAGGGTGAGTGGAGAATGGTGGATGGGGCGCATGGACATTGGCCGGACATCGGAATGGGAAACGGGTTAGCCGAATGACCGGCGGTCAGAATTATAGGGGTGGTGAATTACGAATGCGCCGCGTCTCCATACCAAAAACAATGCACGCAGTAAAACGGTAAATGGCGAGACGGCTTTATAAATGTCTCGTCGATTACACGCCTATCGGGCCTGTTCACGAGCAAGATTATGGTAAGTGTCGTTTTAGCTGCATGCAAGGAAACTATATAAATTCATGCAGTTGTCAGAAGTAACTGAATTTTAGAAGAAACCGAGAAAAATGTTTCAAGAATAACGATGGCTTGACTGTGGATATTTAGATAAATTCATGGCTTTATTAATACAAGGGAAAGAATCAAATTCAGCTGAATAAGCTTTTAGAATGTCTTTGTGGAAGATTATTATTGAATTATTTATGGAATTTTATAACGAGTATGTACACTGGTATTTTTGCAACATCAAATTTCTTACAATAGCAATGAAAATTCCTATTCTAAACTGATAGAAAGCAGTTTCTCTTTGGTATAAGTACGTTTAAATTAATTTGTAATCACTGCACAAATTATTGTATAAATTGCATGGCTGACACATTCATGTATTATCACAGGTATCTACGTATTGTTAATACATCCTAATAATTTTATCGACTTTTGCTTCTTCCATTTCTACGTTTTTCTAAAGTTTTTCTAAAACTGTGAATGCGCTGTACTAAAAAAATAAATCCATGACTTTGAAAGCCAATGAAATTGGTTATCATTTGAATTGATTGTAATAAATGTTCTACAAAAATAATAAAATAGAAAGGTGTTTTTATAGCGACAAATATATTAAAATATTTTATGATGAAAGATTTTATTTATGAAAAAAAAAAACATGATAGTGCGTCTTGTTGGCGCGCTTCTCGAATCGCGCATTTCGGTAATCGATATATACGAAACGTGCGCGCGGGCAGCCGAATCGCTTTTAGACTCATTTAAAATGCATCGGAGTATACCCTACACCTTCCTCATCCCTTCCTATTCACGTATATGTACCAGCACACGTTTTCCTTACACTTGTACGAATATTTAAAACATTGCCACCGACGTGTTTGAAAAAATTAAAATTGAGTCTCTGACGTTTTATACGACAGCTCTTGAAAACAATTTCCTTTCTACATTTGTACCTATCGATTTATTTTGGTGACGATGACTTGAATGTTCCATGTTTCTCACTAATCTTTTTTATTTCACGTACTTTCACTTATAGTTATTTTATTGAATGCTCATTCATGCACCGTGAAAAAGACATGAACTCTCCATCCTTTCTTTTATTTATTACTCGATTTGGCATAAAATAATTATGGAGTAATGTAAAGTAAGTTTATTTACAAATAGACAAATTTTTGCTAATGTTTCAATCGAAAGATACTAATGTTTCTAATATATAAAGCTACAATTTAAAATTATCGTAGATTTAAAAGAGAACTATCGACAATTTAATGAGAAGGCTCAACCTTAATCGAATGATATTTTTAATGAAGCTATTGTATTAAATTAATGACGTTAAAAAATGAAATTCTCTATTAACTCGAACATAATTCAACACTTCATTCTTAACATTTTGGATTACTTTTTAAACCACGTTCACGTTAAAATTTACACTCAAAAAATTAAAGTATAAACAGAGAGATGACTTCATACAAATATCAAAATCTTTACAGATGTTTTTTTACATTTTTGATGTAATCGATATTTCTGTTTTACTCAATAAACTGCAACCCCTTAGTCAATAATGATTAAACAACATAAACATCCAATGTTAGACGCGTCGAGGTATTAATAGCATTACCTTCGAAGGCCGGCATTTCCTCCCAGCGGCAATGTCAGATTACGTAAGGTGAGAAGCGTACGACTACAAAGGGTTAAAGGGCTAATAATACGTAGAATTAATTTTAGCCCTCCACAAGATCGAGATACAAGTCGCATTGTTAATTCCCGGCGAACCTGGAGAGCTTCCATTAATCAACGGTCCATTCAACGGTATAACCAATGAGGTATCGACGGGACACCATAAATCGTTACATCGACACTGTGAGACCAATGGGGGAGAGAGAAAAAAAAAAAAAGAAAAACGCCGGCGAGGCGTTTCGTCCACTGCTTCGACTAAAAATCGTCATTCTGGAAATACACGACAGTCGAAATAGAACCGGCGTATCGATCGATACCAGAGTGCTCGTGCGAATCTACGAAATGTCGAAGGTCGCCGATGACTCGACAACGAGACACAGCCACGATGCTGGTTTTTCTCTTTGAAGAATCGTTGTGTATCGACGTAACGAAAAATAACTCGGTGAATCATTTGGATACGTAAATCTTACTTGTTGTTCAGTGACGAAAGTTAGTTGACCTTTAAACGGACTATACTAATTTTAATTAAACAGTTGAAGCTTTAGAGCGTTGTAGCGTTAGAAACGCTCTAAACCGTAACGAGACGTTGATCTTTGAATAATTAATTTAAAAACGCGACTCGGCAAAAACCTCGAGTTTGACAAATATTACATATCAACACTCTCAGTTCCTAAAATCCAAATGATTTTGTAAAATCGACCATTTCCTATATAATAATCTAATACTTGCATTTTATATAATTTATATAATAACTAATTTTATATAATAACTTATATTTTATACAAGTTATTGCAAGACTGTCTATAATATTAAAAAATTTCACATTTCCTCCTAACGACAGTTTCATTAGTTTTACAATCCGAGTAACTTATTAGTATTAGAATACACATTTCGATGGTTCCCAAGGTTCTTCTTGTATCCAACAGTACGATTATATCGATGATCATCCGCGAGGTTTAGGTACGAACAGACTGTTTACGATTTCCACGTGGCGCCACGCCCCAACCCCCGCGCGACTTCGCAAAGTCCATGGAGTCTCGGCAAAGTTTCCTAATCGTAGGCCGGGGGAATCCCCGAACCACCCACCCAACCCACCCTCGAGTGTCCCTGTCCTTGCAGATCAGCCGAGACGCCCGCCGGAAGAATCGTTGACCAAATTCTCTGGCTGTTGGATACCAGAGTTTCCCCTTTAAGCGTCTTTACTCCGGACCGATCTACCCTTTCAACGGTAGACTTTTTCAGAGCTCTCTTTATTCCAAATTGTGTTTGATAACGTTCTTTTGTGGAGTAGAGGAAATTCGGAATAAAGGTCGATGATACATCTTTTGCTCTCTTTTCCGTAAATAATATATTACTTTCTCGAACGTACAAACGTATTAAAATTGTATTTAACATCGTCGCGTAGAATTATTTTTGAGATCGTTCTGATGACGTTCTTTTGTGGTACGGGGGAGGAAGAAAAAGGAGACGTTGATAATACATCAGGCAGGTTTCTATCTTTTGTACAAATTTTTCTTGAAGAACTATATGCAAAAATTCTTCAAAATTATATTTGCATCGGTACGTCATCAATTCTCACGTACAATTATTTTTATCTCATTTTCGAGATTACCATTTCTTTTGAAATCGTGTCTGATAACATTCTTTTATGATAAGGGAGGGATAAAGGAGATTATATACCTGATTATATCTACCAAGTAGATTTAAGATCTATCCTTTATACAAATGTTGCATTACTTTATTGAAGGAGTATTTGTAAAATTCTGTCAAAATGTCAATGCATAATTAATTATACTCGTATTCATATCTCATTAATCGTCCTGCAAAATCATCTTTTATATCTGATAACGTTCTCTCTGTGGAAATTTCAGAACCATTAATAATATCGAAGACTTTAGATATGCTCCTAGATAAATAATATAACATTGGCTTCTTAAATAAGTGTTCGCAAAATTTCACTGAAACGTCCATCATTTCATAAAATCGTTTTCAAGAACAGATTCTGAATACCTTCTCAAGAGTAGATTTTTTAAGAGCTTTCTCCACTCGAAATCTCTATAGATTCCTTAATAGGAAACCTTTAAACACCAAGAAGATTAAAGCTTTCGTAAACATCTATCCCATAAATGACACGTGATACCTTTTCTTTTGAAACATTAACGTCTGCTTTCCATTGCGCAATATGCGTTGTTAATATCAATGACGCATTATATTATTAAATCGCTTCGTTAATTTAATCAATTCGTCATTAATCAACACCTACGAGCATTGCCAATTCGTCGACCAGTCCATAAAATCATTTTTTCGTACGATGTAGAGTTGCCTGCCCGAAAATAGCATCCATCTCCGACGACCATGATCGTATCGAATCGCGGCTAACGGTTCGCCGATACCATATTGAAATAAAAAGAAGGAAAAGAGGAAACGCGGGTACGAGACCCCATGAAAACCGCGAGAAATCATACCTCCGTTTCTCACCCCGTTCATCGTTGCACCGGCACAAAACGAAACGACTCTCTCCCTCTCCCCACCTCCCTCTCTCTCTCTCTCTCTCTCTCTCTCTCTCTCGGCTTGCCGCTAATCTCACAGCCGATCCGATCGGAGATGAGCACGTAGGAAAAAAGGAAAGGGGAAAAAAAACGCAGAAAGAGAGAAAAAGAGAGAGCAAACCAGAGACGGATTCGGGAAAGGTGGGAAGGGATGGGGGAGGAAAAAGACAGGGAATGGAAGCAGTAACTCCGTGTACATTCGACGAGACAAACTTGATCAATGGCCCCGGCCGAAGCACCAGTCGCAAGGAGGATACGTGTGCACGAAGCGGCCAGGCACACGGAAAAGCGTCGCGCATTGTACAGAGAGAGGCGAGGCCCCCCCGGTATTAATAACAATTCTCACATCTAGCCAAACAAACGTATATGTGCATGCGGGAAAGGGGTTTGATCGGGGTGTATACGTGCGTATAAAATATACATGGAATTTCGTCTGTAAACGTATACAGGGACACACGAGCGATACCGACGGAGAGAAAGGAAAGAAGAGGGGAACAAAAAAAAGAAAAAGAATAAATAAAACGAAAGAAGAGAAGCGCGGAGGGTGGAAAAAAGGGAGGAGGAGGAGGAGGAGGAGGAAGAGAAGGAGGAGGAGGAGAAGAGGAAGGTAGAAAGGAAAGGAAAAAAACGCAGCGAAGCGCGTGATCGTCGGAGTTTTCTCGTGGTGGGTCCCCTGACGGTGGAGACGCGGGTGGGAGATACTGAGAGAGGGGTGGAAAAAAACGAGGGAGAACACAGCGCCAGCAGCGCCGCGACTATTTCCCTTCTTTCTCCCTGTCGTTCGTGCGCAGAGAGGCAGCGGTGGCAGGCAGCGCGTACGTACATTTATTCGAAAGTTCACAAACACGCGGCCAACTTGCACTCTGCTAATAAGTCATCGGTGTTCGTTCGTTCGTCGTCGTCAACCACCACCCGGTAGCGCGCCGCAACCCCCACTATGTGGGTCGCTTCGCTTCGCTCTCGCGTTACCTCTGAACCTAACTCACCACCACCACCACCACCATCCACCCACCCACCCCCGCCCACGCCCGTTTCTACTTCCCCTCGTTCCTCCTCCACCTCCTTCCGTTTCCCCTCGTTCCACTTCGGCTTGGTTCTACTTCGCTCACCCCCGTCCCAAACCACCCCTCCATCCGTGTATACGTAGAACCTTCCGTCGTGTGCGCCGGTGCGCTTGTGTTTTACGCGAGTTCCACCCATCCTCTGCCGAATTCAAACCGACTCACACACAGACACACACAGGCACGCACACGCGCGCACGCGCTCGAACGACCATCGGTTTTCAAGTACATACATACTAAACTACGCTCCCTTGCACGTTCGTGTGTGAGAGTCCGTGCACACGTGCACAGAGGCGTTTTTCACTGTGTCTGGTGCTCGCACAGCTTCACTCTGAAATCCCATTTAACTGCACGTGTACGTCCCGCCTCTTCGTATACACGTTCATACACATGTACGAACGAGAGCGCGTACATGTATACGGGGCAAGTTTTTGCAGGCACATTTAAACGAAAAAGCTTCATCGCTACGAAGAAGGGGTGTGTATGCGCGAGCGCGGGCGCGCACGTGAGCGTGAGCGCGATAAAGCTTCGGGAAAGCGTATATGGTGGCGCAGTGAAGTTTCACCAATACCGGGAGAGTGCTATAGCAAAACATGTATACACGGACAGATACGGTCATGGTTCTGGTTCGCTATGTTCGATCCTTCTTCAGGCAACCGACGCCTGCCACCTCCCCCCCCCCTCTCTCTCCCTCTGACCGGGTTACGCTTGCAAGCACGCTAGCTCGTTCTCTCTCTCGTCCTTTCACCCGTTTCTCTCTCCCTGCTCTCTCCTTCCGCTTCAATTTCTATCTATCCCCATCTCCGTTGCTTCCCCTCCGGGTTTTTTTGTCCGTCTCTGTCGAGAACCGAGACCGGAGTCCGTCGTCGAAAACTGGAAAACGGGTGTACGTGTAACGGCGGACGAGCAAGAAAAAGAGATCCACCTTTGATGACGCGTGGCCGCGCCACGAGGTCCCCGGGTGCACGTTGCGCGGCACTTAAATTACATGATTAAAGGTGCTTTAATTAGTTATTCGACGAGACCTAAATTTATTCGAAGCTTGATATTAGTTTTCATGCAGTTTAATTTCGTTCCGAGTCGACGCGATAATTAACTGACCCGGCGCCGCCGCCACGCGTCTGACAAGGGAAGTTCGCCGAGCGGAAAATTTGAAAAAAAAAAAAAAAAAGAAAAAATTTGAAACTTTTCGCAAACCGTAGTTCACGGAAACTATAGCGAGACGATTCATTTTTTCCTGTTATTACCACCGCGCCAAGCAAATTTCCTCTCTCTCTCTCTCTCTCTCTCTCTTTCTCTCTTTCTCTCTCTCTAAAAAGGAATCGCAAGTAAAATCATTAACAACATTCCTTTAGAAAGCTTCGTCATATTACGCAACTGATATTTATAGCAGCAGAGCCACGTAGCGAAGCAGAACGATCGCGCGAGACGAGAGACTCGGGGAGCCAGGTATACCGAACGAGGAAAATCGATTTACCCGGGGACCGATCGACTGCGGCGACGCACACACGCGACAGATTACGGTCGCCGGGCACGAATTTCCGAATCGAAGATCAGACCACGCTGCGAAACACACGCGGAG